AAAAATGACTGCTGTAGCTGAACCCAGGAGGGACACTTGCTCACTCCTCCTCTTCTTCCACTCCCTGCTTCCGGCAGGATGGCGAGGAGAATCGAAAGAATGATTCTAGATACAGTTTCAATTCTTAGCCACACTGCCTTGTGGCTAAGTCCTCTTTGGAGGAATTTACGTAACCTAAAACACGTTTCCACAAGCTTGATATTAATTCCAAAGACTTTGAATGTGTCATCTGCTCATTGCTCAAGCCAGTCTGTGGGGACTGATGGAGTTTCCTACTCTACGCTAACACTGCTTGGAACAGGGGTGCAGTAAACACTAAACTCCCACACCCTTTTCCCTCAACATCACAAATCTGTGCCATGCTAATGTCTCTCTTGCCCTGGATGTGCAGCCAACTCAGCTGCAACTACCAGAACTATGCTCTTGCAGCAACAGAACTACAGTTGCACAGTTTTACAGGAGCTACTGAGCAGGTTTGTGGGATGAAAGTTCTCACTTTCCTACTAGATGTATCTTACACTGGAACAATGCCCTAGTCAACTTCTCTTTTTCGTGTAAAAATGCCATTACTACCTGCTTTACCCTGCTTCTCTGTGACTGGAGCTCAAGAGATGGTGCGAGAGACTTGAAATGAGCGTCCTTTCTTTGCCTATTTATAGTTAACTTCCCAAGTTGAGCAATTCTTCAGCAGTTTAGGGGTTTGGTTTTCCTTTTTGTTTTACACCAGTTTTGATATTTTTCTTAATTTTTTTCTACTTTCCCATTATTTTTTGGTAGTTCTATCTGGGGGTTATTTATTTTGCCAGGATGTTTTGTTGTACGGTTTGGGGTTGTTTTGGGGTGGTATTCTTTTTCAAAACAGTTGTGTGTAGGATTTGCTTCTTTACTGCTAGCTTTTGGGCTTGTTCTGGCTTGTCTGTAGGACTTTATTTATTAATTTAGATGGGGATTGTTTTTGAAGGGATAGTTCTGTGATTAAAGAAAACCCTGTAACCGAAACAATTACTTAACAACGGAACTGCTGAAAGATAATAAGCTGATGAGTAATGCGACTTAGAAGCCCATTTCCACTCAGATTAGTCTCCTTTATGCTTGAGTGCAAGAAGACAGATGACGGAGGAGGCAAGAAGAGGGATGGTGGAGGATGCCAGGAGAGCTTGAAGGTGTGGTCCCCTGCAGTGGCGCTTATTGGGCCATGATGGTGCCCATTCAGCGCTGGCTCTTTGTCACTCCCTGCCATGCATCCACAGCCAGAGCTCAGAAACAAACCCTCTGAGTCACTGTAGACAAGGAAGTAGGAAGAAGGGCTGGCTCTAATGATCACTGTGACTGCTGTTCAGTAGGACCCTCAGACGAGAGTAAGGCAGTTTGAAACCTATCAAAACTGCCAGGAACTGAGAGCAGCTGATAGAGCAGCAGTCAAAACCAGAGGGACTGAGAAATAAGGGCTGATCCTGCATCAGAGCTGCAAAGCCCCTGCCAAGACAAAGCAAGCTGATTTTGCTTAACAGCTTTGAGTCTACAAAAACACAAAAAAACACGGGCAGGAGAGCAAAGAGAGCAAAAGAGGGAGGATCCTGACCCAGTAACATAAAAAAAAAACAGTGCAAGGACCTGAGAAAGCTCAAGACCTTGACTGCCCCAAAGTAGTGCATAATACTGATAAATCACACTATGTGTCACTTTGCCCATATTTAACAACCTCAGTTGTAGAGCCTCTGACAGTAAAGGTGCAACCCTAGTGAGTGGTGGCACAGCTTGCCAATCTGGCAAGGCTGGAAAGTCTTACTGTGGAGTGGAAAAAATTCTCCTTCTCCTGTGGCGGGGACCCTCACCCACTCACTTTCTTCATGAATGGATGAGGAGTCCAAAAGGATCCCTCAGATGGTGGAGGGTCAGCATCCCCAGCCAGCAGCACTCACAGAAGCCGGGCTCATCAGCTCGCCTTGTCTCTGCTCAACCTGTCTGGTTTCATCCCACTACAAGAGAGCTGACTCAGTGAGATTAGTTTTTAGGAAAGGAAAGAGTTGTTGCTCATGGGCAGTATTTCCAAGTACCTCCACCATTTTCCCCTGTCACCCTGCCACACAGTACAGCCAAGTGAGGAGGCAGCCAGCTGTGTCGTGAGGAGTGTCATTTCTGTCATCCACTAAACACCAGGAGGAAAGTTGGCCGGTGTATAAGGAAATAAAAAACCAGCACATCGCATTATTGTTTCCAGAGCTACCATGAAGTGAACCCCTTTTCTTGTTGGAATTGGTTTCATTTCTCCTGATCCCCGTCACAGTGTGTAGGTGGAGCCTGTAAATAAAAAAGCACCGAAGCTGAAAAGAAGTTACTGCTTCTCCTCACTACAGGACGCTACACAGGTAGAAGTTTCTCTTTTACTTCTTCTAAAAACAGTCATGCAGGTTTTAACTGTTACCTTCATTCCTTTTAATAGTTGCATGTGAGAACGCTGCATGAGATTCTAAAGTTAGTGTGGTTAAATAAGATTGCCAGAATTAGGATTTGTTGCTTTCTGGGGTGGGGAAAAAGACATTACTATTATTTCTTCTTTAAAGGGTGAAAACTGAGAGACAGCATTTAGATTGGAACACATTTTTTATAGCACCTACTGTGTGGAGGCAGTGTTCAGCAACACAGTGTAGCTGGCAGTATTTATGTGTATCATCATAAGCTTTGCATCACTTCGTTCTTTTTCTGAGAAGACAGCTAGAATTAATAAACGTACAACCCAGAGACCACATAGTTTACCCAAATATCCTGAAATTACAGGATACATCAGGCAGAAGTCCATGTGCTCCTCTGGCTGGACAAAGACTGAATAAATGCAAGATCTGTGTGGGTTCAGTGCAGCAGATTTGTGCTTTGGGTTTGATAGCTGGTTTTGTTCTTACCCCTCAAGATGCAAAGCTGGGATTGGTAGAGAAGAATGAGACAACAGCTCTTCAGGACCATCAGCAAGTTGGTGCTTCATGCTGATGTGGCTGTATAGCTCAGTGTTTTATGTTGTGCCAGGGGAGATTTCTGACACACAGGCAGACAGCTGTCTAAAGGTAAGGTTCAAGGAAACCAATACTGTCCCAATAATGGAGGCAGGGGCAGCGCTGGTGAAGAGAAGTGTTATCAGACTTTCAGTATCAGCACGTCATCCAGGTGTCATGTTTCATGCATAGATTCTGGCCGGTTTCAGAAAGACACTTTAAAATTGCAGCTCTTTTTATTGGAAGTGTTTGGTCCACTAAATTGAAAGGTAGATAGAGAACGGGTGACACAATAAAAGGGAATGCTGTTAGAAACATTATTATCAGTAAATTATTTCCTGTAGCAATAGCAAATCACTAAAGAATTTCGTAGCCAGTGAATGCGGAATGTATGTTTGTTGCAGATAAGCACTGAGACCTCATTCAAGGAAGAGGAATCTTTTAATTCATTAATAGAAAAATATTCATACTGGAATATTGAAGAAAGGTGAATTATGGAGAAAGATGAGGAAACTGTAAAATACGGAACTATAAAGAAATGAAAGTAGTCCAGTTATCTTTTATTGCTGGCCAAAACTGAGAAGTTTCCCCATAGTTTGGGGTTTTTTTGTTTTTTTTTTTTTTTTTAAAGGAAACAGGAATATTTACTAAAAATTGTTGGTTTATTTAAAAGAAAGACCAGATAGTAAATGTGGAATTAATCTTTTTTTTTTTTTCTAAACTTGTTTTACACATTGAAAGTTTGACTTGTGTCTGACCATCCTGTTTTGACACCTGCTCAAATTAGAAAACCTGTAAACTTAATTCAGCCAAAAAGTTTAAAAAACAGGAAGTTATTTCAAACAAAAATGTGTTTCTCCAAATTCATTTTCCCAAGTATTTGAGTTAAACAGATCTCAGTTTTGGCAGGGAAAGGTTAAAAAAAAAATAAATCTAGCTTTGAAAAAATAATTTTTTTTTTCTTTAAATCATTTTCACTGGAAATCACTTCCCCTGGAAAATGTCACACCAAAAGCCTCCAGTTTCTTCAGTCACCCATAGAAAATATAACAACAAACTTTTATATAAAGGAAAGCTGAAAAAGAAAATAAAAAGTCTTCTAGTTGTCCCTTCTCTAACATCATGTCAAGCAAAGTCTGCCTTTTGGAGAGGGTTTTAATTCATAGAGGAGGAGGACTAAGATACTGAACTTCTAAAATAGGTGTAAGACTTGCCTCTGCTAAGTGTTTCTGCCACAGGAGAAGTGAGTTGGCCTCACAGCAGACTATGGCTTGGTGTGTCCTACTCTCACTGGTGTTGGTCCGCACAGGTAAGACCCTCTTTGTGCAGCCACACAGCCCTTTACTCCTGACCCCAGCTGACTGAAGTTTAGCATTTGCACACTCTCTCCAGCCATGCCCGGCAGCTGCTGTACTGACTGAGATTCAAAAAGCACCTTTCAGCATAATATTTAATTAAGAAGAATTTCCTTTTTGCAAAAACAAATGTAATTTTGTTGTTTGGGTTTTTTTAATATTCTTGTTTACTTTTTGCAATTTCTTTTTTTGAAAACACAAAGAAAGCATGAAAGAGGTAAGGAGAAGAGTTTCAAGTGTATCCTCTGGGGAGCAATTTTAGTGACTTGAAAAGAGCTGGGGTAGTTGATATCTACTGAGGGTTTAAATCAGTAGATAAAAGTGGTGTTTGATCTTCTCTGCTATGATAACTGTTACAAGCTTGAGTCACTCAGTGCCCTGTGTTTGATTTCAGGAGCTGTATAAACGAGTGATTGGACCAAATAGTAATCACTAGTCAAACACTTATGGACAGCCTACATGGTAAGCCAAAAAATCAGCAGGCCATGGATTGTAAGAGTGTAGCATTCAACCAACCTTTTGATGGAACAAAATTTGCCCTGATGAAAGATGGTTTTGCATCACATTCCTTACAACCATCTTTCAAAGCTTTTGCAGTACCTCTTCCACCAGAGTTAGAAGATGAAGACGTGATGATGGTGGATAACATGATGGTGCGAAAGCCTAACTATGACCAGAAGGAGCTGAAGAAACAGTGTTATGGAAAAGAGGACAAGGTAAGGCAGATACTAGGAGGGGGCATAGATTCTCACCATTCTTATTCCTTTGTTTCACTTTGTGCTCCAAAATGAATTTCATTGCCTCTTTGGGCAATCTTGATCCTAAGCGGAGGAGTACTTTTGGGATCGGGGCCAAGCAAGCTTTTGTGTAACTGGGAAGGTAAGTACCTGCAATTAATCTGCAAACATAAAAAATGCAGGTGTAAAAAATAGGATGGCAGCAGCCTAGCAGCCAGTTTAATGTGCAACGTATATCTGTTTCACTGGTAACAATTAGCAAATGTTGAATAGAAGTCCTTTAGGAGATTTTTTTTTCACTTAACGCTCTTCTACCTCCAACAGAAATATGAAGAAAGGTTGGTCATTATCTGTGTTGAATATTTGACACTGATTGGTTTTCAGACTGTGTCATAGTTAATGGAGTTCCTAGAAAATGGTTAAGATTTACCAGCTAGTAAATATCATAATGAAGAACCTTACCAATAAGGTTTTAAAATATCTGCCTCCAGTAATGTGTGATCCCTTTCTCATCTCAAAAGGAAAAAGCTGTTCTGTTTGATTACATACGATTGATAGACATATTTTCAGAGGTGGCTTTCTTAGACAAAGGTGATGTGGAAAACTTCTGGTTTCCTTTCAAGAAATAGGGTATGAATGTGCCTGGCCCATTAGGGTCTGTAAAATACTGGTGTTATCAAAATTACATTTTTAAATGCAGCAGTCAGACTGGAATATGGAGACAGAAATAGGGAGAAGAAACCAAGCTGAACTAACACACTTTAGCTGACCATATTTAACAGCAGATGGACCAGTTTTGTAAAGGGCTGGAAATCATTTGGCTTGTTTTCATGAAAGTGAAGAGCATCTGTTAATATCTGTCACACGTATAAAAACCAAAAAATGATAATAATCTGTCATTTAAAACAAGTAATTCATCCCTTACCCTAGCCTAAAATGAGGCAAAGAAAGAACAGCCATGGTGAACTAAAAGATTTTAGCCACATGTTAAGGATGCTAGATCAGAATCACACTTTTGGTGTCTATGCAAACACTAAACCATCAAACTTCAAAACAAAGATTTAATAATTATTACTAGGCCTAGATTTCATTTGCATACACATAATTCAGTACATCTGTAGATGAATGGAAGAAAATGGTAGTTATTTAAAACAAACAAAAACAATAAATTAACAAAACATACTTAGTAATGAGTCTCCCTTTACTCTTTATCTTCTCACGATAGCTTACAAAGTTTGGTATTTTAACTAAGGATGGTCATTGAGCCAACCTCAACTGATTGTCTTATTTACGGACACCTGTTTATAACTTGGAGGTGCAAGAATGCACAGTGATATGAAGTACAGCTTGGTGCCAGTACGTAAGGTTTACTAAAGAACAATGAGCCAGAAAAGATGCCTAAAAGTGGGGTGGTTTTGTGTGAAAACAAATTACTTTAAAATTATGAAAAATTCATTTTAAGTTTAACTCTAACAGGCAGCAGAACATACATTATACAACCAATATGAGGAAAAAATCCGACCCTGCATTGATCTCATCGATAGCCTAAGAGCTCTCGGAATAGAAAAAGACCTGGCTTTGCCTGCAATTGCAGTGATTGGAGACCAGAGCTCTGGGAAAAGCTCCGTCCTAGAAGCCCTGTCTGGTATTGCTCTCCCCAGAGGCAATGGTAAGGATTCACCTTCTCAGAACTCACCTAAATTGCACTTTGTAGAAGGATTATTTTTCAGTCTAAAATTGGATAACTCCATGACTGAGACTATATCTAAATCGTGAGATTCCAGGGGCCTTCTCTGCTCTGGTGTCCAGTAGAAGAAATGGATGTGCAGGTCAGGCAGTGCAGGGTAACTCCAGCAAGGTGTATGTCCTGGGTGGTCAAGAGACCAGGAGTGAGAAAAGTACAGTGTAGTGTACTTGTTCCAAAATGTGGATAGACTGGAAGGTAGCATCAGCTGATTCTGTATCTTTCCCAGCAAAGAGTAGTGCAGCAGAGTATCGGTTTCACATGGAAGACTAGTCTTGAAATTTGCTTTTGAAGTTGGTTTGTGGTTTTTATAACAAGATTTTCTTACAGATACCTTTTTTTTGTTTTTTAAATGTAAAAAAATGTACAAAGATCTCCTCTAACATATATGTCCCTTGGATGTTATATAAATCAGAGAAGATTGTTGGAAGACATTGCTGCTCAAGAAGATTCACTTCCAGCTCTGTGTGTGTGTGTGTATACACAAACACAATGTCTGCAAGTTCTGTGTGAGTTGACAGTACCATCTAGTATTGCAGGCTGGACTTGAGGAAAAGGCTCTCACAGGATGTAGGTGCAGCACTGAAACAGGTCACCCAGAGAGGTGCAAAACTCCATCCTTGGAGGTTTGCAAGACAAACCATGGCTGGACAGAGCCATGGCTGACCTCATCTAGTGTTAATGAGAGTCCTACTCTGAATGACAAGTTGAATGAGAGCCCTTTGTCAATGTTTCTTGGAACGTTTCTGTGTCTCTGTGCGAAGTATTAGGCAACCCTATGTGCACCATGCAGTCCATAGATGTGTATCATGCGTAACAGTTGCTGAGTTACCTCTGTCTTTGGAACTGCTGCAGGTATTGTTACTCGATGTCCTTTGGAACTTAAACTGAAAAGAATACCTGCCACCCAGGAATGGAAAGGGAAAATTCGTTACCGTAACTTTAACATAGAGCTCCAGAATGCCTCTGAGGTGGAGAATGCAATAAGACAAGGTGAGTTGTAATGTATTCCTCTCTGATTTGGCTTTCTCAATCTCCTCTTAATCCTTTCTTACCTTTTCTTAGGCTAAGCAGCAGTCCTCAGACTAACACAATTGTTGTAGCCAGCAGTAACACCAAGAGCTGAACTCAGAGAAGAAGACAGTGGGGGAGCATAATATAACTCTCTTATGAGAGTTGTACCACTTACTAAATCAGTGGTGAGGATGACCCATGATGTCCAAAAAAAGCTCAGGCTGTCCCCTCAGCTGGATGCTGTCTGCCTGGTTTGGGGAGGTTGTCAGTCAAATACAAAGCCCTAAATGGTTCCTGTCATCAGTTCACTCAGAGTATGCTTGAGGTGTCTGTGGCTGTAAATCTTACGATTTTGGAGAAAATCGCAAGAAGACAGACTAGAAAGCATATGGAGTTTCTGCCAGCTAGTGTTACCACAGCCTAAATCACTGCACTTTCTATGTCACAGATTTGATTTTATGGTAGTTCATGCTGTGTAAGGAAACATTTTTCTTGCCCAAAGGACAGTAAGGACTTTGTGAAAATTGGAACATTCTTATTTCTTTGACTAGCGCTGCTCTGCAACATTGTTAATTGTCCTAATGTTTTTCCATTAGCTTTTCAATATATTATTTTGATATTTTCAATATATCCTTCCATAACTGGCAAAGTGGTATGAATTGATTAAGCTAATTGCAGAACTGAAAATTTCTCATGAGAATGACTACTGAGTTTCCTTGCTTGTCTGTACTGTTCACAGTTAAAGCATTATTGCCTTACAAGATTTGGGACAAATTACTTGATCACTCACCTATCAAAATGTGAAGAATATAGAATGTTATTATCTTTCAAGGCAGCCAAGGATTAATGCCTACAAAGTGTCTTGACTTTGAGAAATCTAATTTCTAAAACTGACCAGTATTCCGTCCAATGACTTTTGTTGTGTTTTACTTACATGTACTTTGCATAGCTGAAAGTTCAGAAGTATATGGTCTGCAAATATTAAAGTTCACATTGCAAAAGGACTCCATGTATTCACATATTGCCTAATTTTCTCACATTTTTACATTGAATGGATTTATGTGCATGGCTGGATGCCATGCCTAAAAAAGCCAAGCTTAAAAGTACTTTAATTGGTAGCAGGTATTTTTGAAAGTCATTGTGCTCAACTTCACTTTCATACATTATTTGAAGCTTTTATTCATTGCCTTGTTCTTTTCTTCTTCAGCCCAGAATGTTGTGGCAGGTACTAAAGGTGCCATTAGTGGAGAACTAATTTCCCTAGAAGTTTGGTCACCAGATGTACCAGATCTGACACTAATCGATCTTCCTGGAATTGCCAGAGTGGCTGTGGGGGAGCAGCCAAAAGACATCGGGGAACAGGTAAAACTCAGTCTCCTCTTACACCAGTCTATGCACAGGGTCACTTCTGTAACCTACCTCATATATGAGCCTCGGCTGTAGGATGCTGAAGTTACTATGCTGGGCTTCTGAGCCAGCAAAAAAGATACACCGACAAACAGGCCTATTTTTCAGGCAAGAATTGCTCATAGGACAGTGAGATCCAGGATGTCCTGTCTGCCCTCTCATGCCAGAGGGAGTTGCCCACGCTAGCTGTGAAGGAGCCACCTCAAGGCCCTTGACACAGCCTACCCATGGAAGCATGGAATAAGCCATCCATGTGGACCCTGAACACAGTGTTACCCCTCTGTCCCTTGGCTAGACTGCAGTCTGGAAGGCAGATACATCCCAAAATGAGTTGTCTCTTACCAGCTTTTTGGATGTATTTGGCAAAGGTGAATAGATCTGAGCTCTTGTAAGATCTTCTGTAGCAAGGCAGTAAATTGGTCCTCTTACAGGTTTGTTGCTCCATCATCCCTTACTTGTGGAGCTCATCAGAATCAGAGCCATCCTGGTATTTCTCATCCCTTAAGGGGTCCTAGCAGACCCTTTTTGACGTAAACAGAATATGTGCTAAATTGGAGGGGATCTCTGCTCTTCTTCTGGCTGCTTTTAGGAGAAATGCTGAGGAATGCAGACAAAACTCTAGTTGGACAAGGCCAGCTGTGAGAATGATGTGCAGGAGCTGGGTGTACTGTTTCTCCTAGAATACCTTTAAATTGGAACTTGGAATAAGAGTAGCCCAAATTGAACTAGACCTAATTCACACATTTCCAGCCTACATGCCTAATAGATGGAGGCTATAGCATTGTAGCATGTTAGAAATGAGGATGGATGCGAAGTACAGAAGAGAGGCACCTTTGCCAAAACTCAGGGGAAAAAAAGAGTAAACTTACTTTAATATAAGCACAAGAGAGGTGTGTAAACCTTTTGTAATACAACACAAACTATGACAAACTCTTTTAGTTTGGCATTGAAACATAGAAGCAACATCAAGTCTCTTGTGCGACTTGGGTTTTTTGTTTGGTTGATTGGTTTTGGTTTTGGTTTGAGGTTTTGGGGTTTGGGTTTTTTTTCCCACAAATACTCCACTGAAATATAAGCCAAAGACATTTTCTCTCCTTTCAGAGATAAAAATTTGAGATTTATCAGCATAATCTATCTTGCTTTCTTTCCATAAGTGTGTACCTCGGCATCAGAACTTGTTTTTCTCACGTCATTATTTGTGAAATATCTTCAATATTTCCATAATGACAGATTATATGCATGAGAGGTTAAACTGTACATAGCTCTCAGGATAGGTATAACATCCAAACGTGCTAGATGTTTGGATTAATCTTGACATAGGAAAAGAGGCTGCATTCTTCTGCTGACCCATTTCCATGCCATCCTTTAGCATGTAATACTATCCTCAGTAAATGTGACATTTAATGTCATTAGACAGTGATCATATTGCTAGAAATAGTCATATCCTACATGGAAGCATCTCATTTCACTGAGCTTTATTAATGCTGTATTGCATTGCAGATCAAAGTACTACTTAAAAAAATTATTTGCTTCAAAGAAACACTCAATTTGGTAGTGGTGCCATGTAATGTGGATATTGCAACAACGGAAGCATTGAAAATGGCTCAAGAGGTGGACCCCAGTGGAGAAAGGACACTAGGTGAGACAATTTTATCTATAAGTTGAAGAAAAATGTGAATCTTTGTTCCATGAAGGTCTGATATTCTATATTCCATGCTAGATCTGTAGAATTAGCTACTAGAAGAAGGAAAAAAAGAAAACAGCCTAAATAGACTATTTACAAAGTTTGAGATGATCCAGTAGCTCAAAGAATCCCTCAATTTTGAGTCTTGCTGGCATACATGTTATGAATAATTGGAAATTGAAAATCTGAGAGTTAATTGTGGGCAAGTTTTGCTGCTACCTGTTAAAAAAGGATTTGCAAGACAAAAAGAAGGTGGGAGGCCAACTGTAGAACAAGTTTTACAGTGCAAAGCCCAGGAGCTGAGTGCTTTCTAGGGGAAGAAAGAAAAAACCAAATTAAGAGAAGTTGCTTTATAAAACATGGTACAGAGTGTTTCTGCTCTGGGTGTCCTACTACACCTCTCCTACCTTTAATTTCTGCACTTAACTAACTATCTCTTTGGGTAATTTCACAGGCATCCTCACAAAACCTGACCTGGTGGATAGAGGAACTGAAGAGTCTGTCATTAAGATAATAGGAAACCAGGTCATCCCCCTTAAAAAAGGTTACATGATTGTGAAGTGTCGTGGACAACAGGACATCCACAACAAACTGTCCTTGGCCACTGCAATCCAGCAGGAGAGAAAATTCTTCCAGACTCACAAACATTTCAGGTATTTCTCACAGCAAGGACCTAACTGAAAACATATTAAAGTCACTTCAAAGCTTCCTGTTGACTCACTGAGATTTAAATTAGGGTTAGAAACAGGTATTAATGATACTCACTATTTCTCATTGCCCGTGTAGTGTTACTTTTCAGGAAGCCAGAATTTTACATGTCAAATAAAACTTTAAAATGCATTTTGTATATAAGTTTTATATACATATATCTCCTCAACCCTGGGAGAAGTTCAGTGGTCTTCAGAAGTTCAATGGTCTTCAGAAGAGACTATTCTGAATAGTCTCAAGAAGTCTAAGTTAAGCGTCTGAGCACTTCAAGTCAAGCACCAAAGTATTTCTATGCACTGGAAAACATGGTTAAACTCAGCTTAAGAGGATGCTGCCTGTGCTAAGGGCACAGATTTCCCCAGAAAGTGACTCAGCAGCAAATCAATCATAATATAGAGAATGGCAGGTGAAAAGAGTTTTGAAACAGCGTACTTTGCATATGCAGAAATAATACAGCAGCACATTAATCTGCTGTTAGAATTTGCTATTTTCAGGTTCTTCTCTGTTTCCCTTTGCTTAGCCAGTAGCAATAGCTGTCAAACAACTCTTGCATAAAATTCCAAGTCCTGGACTGCTGCTGTATCTGTGTTAGCACTGCCCAGACAGTCCTTCTTTTACTCAATTTGTGTAGTAGAACTACTGAAAAGAGAGCAAAGCATCAGTGCTACCTCCTTGCCCCGCCCATGCAGTCAATCCAAAAACACCTTTTCCTCTTTTTTTCAGCATTCTTCTGGAAGAAAGAAGGGCTACTATTCCTTATCTGGCAGAAAAGCTCACAAATGAGCTTGTGGGACATATTATTGTAAGTAACAGAAGTGCCATACTAAGCCATTTGTGTCAGTTACAATCTAGAAATAAGTTCAGCTGTTTAACCTTCGGTTGCAATTGATTGCAATTGGATTGCACCTTTATATGCATAGATAGTACTTTATTATCCTTCAGTCTGGCAATCTGAGGACAAATTGCACTGAAAGTTAGAGGTGAAAAACTCATGCTCTGTTAATCTTAAACTGAAGGTTAACAATAGGCAAATAATTTAATTTGTGACTGAACTGCCTTTTCAATGACAGCCATGTTATTTCTTTTTGCTTGTGAAGAGTGTTGATTGACTGGGTGACAAGTTACTGCTATGAATTTACTAAAACACAACAATTTCTATTTAACTGAAAATGTTTTAAAAAAATTCAAGTAAGATGTGATTGTTTTATTATATTATTATACTGATGTAAATACATTGGAGTTTTAATTTTATATACATGTATCAGTAAGTAATGTATCTTATTCCATTAAGAGAAAATGCTAAAATACAGGGAACCTCTAAATTCAGTCCTGAAGGAGAAAAAACATGCATTTACGTGTCCTTATGCAACTAAACAGCTGTGTTCAATCAGGTATTTGTCAGGAATGGAAGGGTCAGTGCATTCCCCACATCACCACCTCCCTGGCACAACCTGTGAGGACATAGTTTTTGGCTTTCTATAGATGAAACGTTGCCCTAGACTGTAGCTGCTCTGCCCACCTCACACTGAGGTCCAGCTTGAATTCTCAGGTTGATCTTAGCTCCCTGCCTTCTCTCAGTGAAGGCCATATTTGCATTTCCATGGTATCCCACTGTCATGTGTGGGATGCAAGGACAGCAAGCTCTTAGACTTCAAAGAACAGCAAAGATCTTGTGCAGGTGTAGGTCACTCTTAGAGGGATTTTATTTTCCTTCCAAAACCAGACATGTTCAACCTACCTAAATGTCCTTCTTTACTGCCTACCCACCAGAAAACCTTGCCAACGCTAGAGAACCAAATTCGTATGGCACTCCAAGAAACATTACAGGATCTACAAAAGTACAAAAGAACTGCACCCACAACAGAGTTCGAGAAGCTGACTGTCCTCACCGATGTGAGTATCAATATTGATCTGGTCACAGACCACAATGAAGAGGTAAACATGGGAGAAAAAGAAACCACTTAAAGTTAGAAAACCATCAGCATGGAGCACCAGGAAGCTTGTGGTATCTGCCATTGAAGTGTTTCAAGAGTAACATAGTAACATAAACCACTGGCAGGAATACATCATAGCTGCAAAAATAATGGACCACAAGAGCTCATGGCCCCTTCTAGCAATATTTCTCCTGCAATCGGTTGAATGGTCAAAATCAAGCATCTCAGAGATGGAAAAATTACACTCCTGCCTGCCCAACATTTTGAAGGGTTTCTATTGTTTACAGCACTCGTAAAATCAAATGCATTCCTGATATCAAAATTTGGTTTACTAGTCCATCTAAGTATCTTATCTTGGAGAACTAACCCCTCACAGAAAGCTTTCGGGAGGCCAGCAAGGCTCATCAGCCTTCAAAGACTTCATGCAAGTCTGGTCAGATAGAATTTACTTAATGGTTCTAAGAGTCGCAGGAAAGGAAAAAAAAAAAGAAGTATCAAGTTTGTTCTCCTCCAGCTATGCTGGTTTAGGGAAAACAAACAAAAAACCAAACAAAACAACAGGAGTTACAAGCGTAAAAGTGTAAGGAAGGGATGTTTTCAATGAACTGTGTTCCTGCTGTAACATCAAAAGATTGCAGATTTGCTTTATATATGCAAGTCAGTCTGAAGAAATTAAACTTTACTGCATTCTGGTTTGTTCTTTAATTCATTACAGTTGATCAAACTCTTTAATCAAGATGTCTCTCAGACAATGCGTGGAGAGGAATGGTTGGTTGGAAATGAAGTCAGGCTGTTTACAAAAATCCGCAAAGAGTTCCGAACATGGGAGGCAGTTCTCCTAGAATGTGCTGCAAAGGGTAAGCATAGAAAACCATTGTTTGCAGCTGACCTGAGATTCCATTCCCTTGCTTTTAAATCAAGACACAGCATCATCAACTGTATTCAAGAAAGTAAAAACAAGAAGCTGGGAGCATGCATCTGTTGTAGTGTTAGGCAAGTTATGCTTTGGTTCTTGAGGAAAAAGACCAAGCTTGTGTTAAATGCTGTCATTATGGAGACATCAGTGGATGTCTGTCTTCTCCCAGCGAAGTAGTAGAATCAAGGCTGTGGGCCCTGGCACAAAATTGGTTGTTGAGTCTCTTAACAATTCTTCTAAATAACAGCAATAAAACAAACATATCATCTTCATTATTATTATTATGTTAAACTATATAATGAATTTGCTATAATTCTATTACTATTTTTGTTATTACTATTATTAGGAATGTTTTGCAATTTTGGTCTTTTTTGTTCTACTTTAGTTCTGGTTTAAGGCGTGGAGAAAGCAATTCTGAGTCTGAATCACCACAACCTTGTAAAGAGCACCCATTTTTGTGCATCTCCCACTTTGCTAGTTGCTTAACCGAACTCAGATCTAAACTGAGGCTTAGGGTGATGCATTCAAGCTGAACTCTGCCGTGCACTCAACATCTTTTGCAGCATCTCTTTCACATCTTTCAGAGACCCCATCCTTTGCTCTTAGAGATGAAATGGCATCAGCTATCAGTCAAGCAGCAGCTCTTGAAACAAATTCTTTTGTCTTTGATGCACACCTATGTCAGCATTACTAGTCACTCTAAAACAATAGGTACAAATAGGCTGCAAGAATGACATCAACCAGAGGCAAACATTGTATATATATGCATATATGTGAAGACAGACAGACATTAGTGTTTGTCAACATATCTTACGTCCTACCCATGAAATTCCAAGCCAGTCAACATGATTTCATGGAGAGGAATAAAAGAGTAATACAATGAAGGCATGAAGAAATAGACAAAAAAAGAGCAGAAAGCACTAGCAGAAGGATGGAGTTTCTTCAGAGGACAAGAACAACTGAGTTGGATTACAAGGCATTACAAGGCAGCTGAACCACAGTGGGGAATCCTCTGGGCACTTTCAGGTTATCTATCTCCATTGATTTAAACTAATACATCCAACTTCACAATAGGATCAGGGAGCAACACATAGCAGCTCTTAAAACAGCATAGGTCTTGCTGACACTATGCTACCCCAAAATCATGTGTACATATGCCCAGATAAACTATTTACATGTGCATCTGAGCAAGTTCACTTACATAGCTTGAAAACTAGAGGTAGCTTTAGTGAGCTCATTCTCAGCAAAAAGCACTATTATCAGTCACCACTACGATTTCTGAAGGTACATCATTGCAGGTCAGATGATACTGTTTAAATTGAGCTTTCTTATGATGAATGAAAGTATTCAAAGTAGTAGATACTTCTGATATTTGAAGCCTTGAACTTTCTGTTGCAAAGCTGACAGATGCTCTTGTGGCCATGTTACAACTTTGTACTATCTTAACTGTACAGGTACGTTTTCAGACTCGGAACCAGATTCTCTACATCTACTTCTGGGGTTTTTGTGGGCGTTTTTTCCACTATTTTTTTTTTCTTTTTGATTATCCAACTATGGATTCATGTATCTGAATGTTAGAACTGAAAGCATTCATGGCTTGACTTCTACTTTCACATCTGCATATGATTCACAAATTTGACCCCCAAACAGAGATATATCGAAACTTTTCAAAACACTCAGAGGCATGTCTTTGCCTGAATATGTAAACCAGTTCAAAGAGATATACCCCATTTAAGATGGCAAATTTATATAATGTCAACAAAGAAATACTGACTGATATCTTAAATAAAAATAGATAGTCAACAGTAGATTCCCTGGAATCTACCCCTGTTTGGGGTTTGGTTTTGTTCCATGAGGGTAGCAATTCCAAGAAGAACCAGTATTTTTGAGCCCCATCATGATTTCTGGATTGCTTTCTGTCATTTAGGTGTTTGATCCATTATTTCATTAACTGAGCAATAACGTGCTAGCTAAGCTCTTTTTTTTTTTTCGCTTGGTTTTGCTTGAAAGATCATCTCAGTAGTTGTTCTTCTCAAGAGCATTTCAAAGAGAAGAAATAGACTTCCTTCTTAAATCTGAAATTCATAAATTGAATGATTAGTAGTAAAGCAATGTTATTTTAATATTACAGTTAAAAAAAATGTACCCAGTAAAGCATGGAAATATGAAGAACAGTATCGTGGACGGGAGTTCCCAGGTTTTACCAATTACAGGACATTTGAGGACATTATAAAAGAGCAGATCATAGAACTCGAGGAGCCAGCCATTGAGATACTGAAGAGGGTGATCGGTACGTCTCACAGGCCTCATGAGGCTGTTGCATGGGAGACACTCATGTGCCTAACTTTTTTTTTCCAGGATGAGCCAATGTTCTCACTGCTGGAGCAAGAGCTCCAGCCAGGATTCTTCAGAGTGTGGACGTGAATCTAATTCAACCTGGAGTCTTACTTCTTCTCTAGAGCCTCCAGTCTCTACATGTGGTCTCCAGCATTTATTCATACTTTTCCCAGTGGCTGGCGGAAGAGAGTTAGAATGTAACTACAGTAAATAACAGAGTAAACAACTAGTACAGTAGAAGTACCTGGTTTGAGCCCAGCAGCTTGGTATTCCGAAACCTAGGGAGTGGCATTCACAAACCTGAACAGGGAACTCAGCTTCTTTGCCAGTTCTTTGCATGACATTTTTCGTATTACACAGTGACTGCTGGGACTGGGGGAAAAGAGTACATAGTTCATCCAGTAAAAAGCACCCAAAGAAAAAGTATGTCTTCTCTCTCCTATGTTTGCCTTAGAAGGCAGCTATGGCGTCTGTGCCAGTCTCAGCGGTCTGTCCTATATGCAGCTAGCCCCTCTTGCTGCAGGGGCAACTCAGGGGGTGAGATGCAGATGTGCTTACATGGCCAAGTAATGGCACATCTGGTCAGATATGTCTGTAAGCACAGAAATTGCTTTATCAAAGAAATCTCAGGGATATTCAATCTCTCAGGTGTTAAGTGGTTACAGCAGGTCTTCAATGGCTCACACTCTTGGACCTAGAAATCTAAATTTCTACTTGTTTGTACTGGTCACAAAGGCACAGTGCATCAGGACAGCTGCCCAGCTATTTCTGGATGAATACAGAAAATGCATAGTTTTCTCAAGTGTCATATTAACAATAGGTTAAAAACCTCACTTGATTACTTGACCTTATTTTGTCTGTCTCTCCTTTCCTTAGGACTGGTTGAAGAGAAATTTATGGAATTCGCTAAAAGGCATTTTGCCAATTTCCAGAACTTAAACAGAGCTGTTAAGGTGAGGCATTACCTGTAACCCGAGACAAGACAAGAGCAAGATAGAATGGCATTTGTAAATACAGCCATTTGTAAATACAGCATTTCTAAATACTGCTTACAGTATCTATCGCATTGCATTACCCTTATGCAACCATTGAATTTCTTGCAGGCCTATGTTTTTTATAAAATAAGGAAGAGCAAGAAAATTATAGCACCTTCACAATGGGACTAATGAAAGTGCCTCTTGCCTTTTGGTACAACTTTGACAAGATATAAAACATACATTCCTCATTCATTCTGGTCACATTCTCAACAATGCAAACTAAAAACAGTATGGCTGCCTTGAAGAGTTTATACTTAAGTTAAATTTCAGTCCTGCAATGATTTGTAAGCATGTGGGTAGCCTAAGAGTGCTAAATGGTTCTTTTCCCTATCTGAAAGGCAAGCCAGGTTTTTAGCAAGTGCAGAAATCTCATCTTCAATGAGCAAAAGCAGACAAGCCAAAAATCGTTCAACATGAGAGAGTTAGAAGATGACTGTTCACAATCTGGGGTAGAGTTAAATGATATGGATGTCATTGAGCCTTTGTCTCAGAAAGATCTTTGAGGAAGAGAGGAGAAGCAATGCTGGACAGCAAGGAAACGGGGCCCACTCACAAAGTACTGCTTAGAAAGGAAACTCAAATGCAAATATGAGTGAAATAGATGGTTTGCTATTTGACTTGCATGGCCAAACCCTACTGAGCTCCCAGGCCAATCAGATACCAAGCAAATAAGCTATTTCAGCCAAACAGAGAAGTATTTAGGGAGGATCTTTAGGCATAACACAGTGAGATAAATGAAGAGGGAGGAAGTTCTGGTAAACACTGAAGATGAAAAAAAAGATGGGATCTTTTCTTAGGAGTCTTAAGAAAGCATTTTAAGGAATTTGAGGATGACTGAGGGAACTTTGCTGCTGTGCACCGGCACCTTTGCAAAGGAGGCCAATGTCTGAGAACTTGTTGTTCTTTTCTTTCCTAGACCAGAATTGAAGACATTAGAGAAAAACAAGCAGCAGAGGCTGAAAGACATATCCGGACCCAGTTTAAAATGGAGAGAATTGTATATTGCCAGGATAACCTTTACATGAATGATTTAAAATGTGTTAATGGAGAATACTTCAGTGGAAAGAGTCGCAGGGTGGATCTGGTTTGCAACAAGAGCCCTCCTTTGTCCAGGAAATGGTTTCTCATACAAAGGCCTACTTCTATGTGAGTTTACAGATGATCATACAGCAGTTGTTCTGCACCTTGATTGCTATATACCCACTGTCCAGATCTCACTGTAGTTAAAATGTTGAGTCTTTCATGCAACACTGCTACTTTGCAGGGAATAGTAGCCAGAGGGTGTGTCTTGTCCAAGTACACGCACAGCTTTTGTACGAATTAATCAGAGCTTCTGACCAGTCATGGAAACGCCAGGACAAAGCTGGTCAGAAGGCTGTGTCAGCAGTTTCTGGGGAGAAGTAGTTGCACAGTGCTGGATACGGTGATTAGAGAAGCTTGCAATTTCTTAAAGTGATGGTTGGCTCCTACTTGTTAACTCCCTCCCAACCTGGCATGGCTCCCTGCTGTGGCTGCCCCTTGGTCAGGGAATACACTATCAGCAAGTGAGCCCTCTTTTCCAGCTTTTCACAGAGAAGAGGGTGACTCCTGCTGACTACACAGCCCCATGCCTGTAGAGTGCTCTCTTGCTGGCATTCCTA